AGAGCGAGCCCGGCAGCTCGCAATGCTCGACTCAGAGTCGAGCTGGCCCAGGCTTGGCTGGGCAAGGTTTTGTATCGCCGCAGGCCCCGCCTGTGCCGAATGATTCTCCTTCATCAGGTCTTGATCCGTGTCAGCAGAGTGCTAGTATGGATGCAAGCAAGTTTTCTTCACTTTTGCAGTTGCTTCAGGGTGCTCAGTGGCCGGACTCTGTGTTGCAACGCAAGTCTGTTTCTTCAGCGGATCCCACGCAGTCAGGGTATTACAACTTCGGGCCCAGAGCCAGCAACCCGCAGCATCTGACACATGCCACGCTGGCCATGCAAGCTTTTGTCCAGCAACTGAATGCAGCCATCAGGGGGCTTCTGCCCCAAGTGCCCTGGAATGCAATCTGTGTAGGCAGGAACACCTTATCGGATTTTCACAGAGATTCGGGTAACCAACAGGGTTCGCTGAACCACACCTTCTCGCTTGGCGCCTTCACAGGCGGCCAGCTCTGGCTTGAGGATGCATCGGGCACTTCTGAGGTTACTGTTCCAGGCGACAAGAAGATCCGAGGCAAGATAGTCGACACGTTCTGCCGCCCCACTAGCTTTCCATGCAACTTGTGGCATAAGACTATGCCATACACAGGCGAGAGGTGGGTCGTCACACTCTACACTCTTTCAGGTGGGCAACCTACAGCGCTGCTCCCATTGGGCTTTCCGTGTGCACCTACTGCTGCGGCACAACAGCTCCCTGTAGAGCGGCCGCCTCTTCAGAATGCCTTGCCGTGTGCCACTGCCACTTCTGGGTCTAGCCCCACTGTTCCCGGCCTTTTGGGTTCTAGTCCCGCCTCACCTGCCGACCCGTCTTGTAAACGCTTGAAATCGCACGCTCATGCCGCGCAGCCTCCCCGGCATGAGAAACCTTTGTTCTTGGAAATTTGCAGTGGGTCCGCTATGCTTTCTTATGTTGCTAAGGAGGCCGGATACACGGCCGTGCCAATCGATTGGCATCACAACAAACAACGGACGTGTGTGCACACTTTGCAGCTTGACTTGCGCCTTGACAGCACGTGGTCTTTCCTACGACGCATCTGTTCAGAGTACAACGTCGCCTGGGTCCACATGGCTCCTCCATGCGGTACTGCCAGCAGACTCGGGAGGACTTTTATGAGGAGCTTTACACGGTGGCATGTCGTCGCATTCAGCTGGATGATCCTACTACTACTATGACCACTGTTCTTCACTGGCTATACATACTGGCCACGTATGGTACCTTGGTCTGATGCCTCTACAGCTGTTTCTTTGACTGCATGGCCTTTACAGTTTGGTGGGCCATGCTATCTATCAGCTTCCGATCCACTGCTCTTCAATCTTCTGTATGGTGCCTCTGATTTCGATGGTGTTGCTTCATCAACGGTCTTTTTACAGCATGGGACTTCTTTGTACATGTACATACGGTCGAGTAGTCCAGTCCGTCTGGTTAGACCAATGCCATGTGTACAAAGGTCTAGTAGTCCAGTTCGTCTGGTTAGACCACGATGTATATACGATCGAGTAGTCCAGTTCGTCTGGTTAGATCGATGCCATGTGTACAAAGGTCTAGTAGTCCAGTGCGTCTGGTCAGACCGATGTGTATATACGATCGAGTAGTCCAGCACGTCTGGTTAGATCGATGACTTGTGCTCTGTCTCACCTTTGTTAATGCTGACGTTGGTTTTTAAAACCACTCCTGCAGTGTTTGCCCACATGTGGCTAGCCCGGTGGGATTCACTGCTTTTGCTCACTCTGAGCCGATGCCACTGTGCATTGTAGCGTAGCGCGAGACTGCTGGACAGTTTGCGTCATACAAAGTACAAAGTACAAAGTACTGCCAGCAGACAAGCTCCTGGGCTCAAGTCGTTTGTAGCATTTTTGGGGTGGGGTAGCGGCAGTTCCGTGGCCAACAGTGTCACGAGGGAAGCTTCCTCTGCAGGGGCTTCGCACGGCTGTTCCTTCGAACGTGGCTCCAGGCGCAACAGGTTCCTTTTTATAACCGGGCCTCCTTTCGACGTTTGTAGCTCAGATGCCATGGTTTCAGAAATGGATGCTGATGTGTCATTGCTTGTGGCTCAGCTTACTCACGGCCAAGCTGTGGCTCCAATTTCGTGGCCATTGCAGGCACATGCCAGAAAACTTTCTTGCAGCACGGGAGTTTCCAGTAGGCACGCGGTCTTTTGCAAGTTCTAGAAACACGAGCATTTTCCATGACCGGGTGTTTTCAGGAACCCAACCGAGCCTTGCCGACGCCGACACCAGCTTTTGTGCAGACGGTTCCCTTGCTTGCTTGAGGTGGCCAGTAGAGAACAATAAAGAAGCCTTGGCTGCAGCAGGCACCGACCCGCCCAGCAAAAGCATGGCTGGTACTGACAGCCTTCCTTGCACAGGTGGCCCTCTGAAGTGCGTGCAGTCTTGTCTTATGTTGGATCACGGGGCAACACCCGTAGGAGTGGGCCGACCATGGCCGGAGGATAGCACAGATGAGCTTGAAGATTCCACAGGCCACTTTCCTTCATGCCTTCTTGATGTTTTGCACTTTGAGGGTCTTTGCAGAATTTGTGGACCTAGGGGGCTCTCGTTTGCAGCTGTCACCAAACACAAGCCGCGGGCACCTTGGAACACCCAGGCTCTGCATCAGCAGTCGCACATGCCAGCATCAGGTCATCCAGAGCATGACGGAGCCAGCGAAATGCCCAAACCGCTGTCTGGCACCCTGCTTGCCAATACACCTCTGCCGCCTCTGCACCTGTGGTGTCCTGACAGATGGCCGGAACTTCCGGCCGACTCGACCTACGAAGGCATCTGCGAGCAAGCTAGCTCAGGACCTCTGCGAAAACACCGGAACGGTCACTTAAACAATTTGACCTGCAGGAGATTGTGCCGACCAGGCTGCCGTATCACCAGGCTGTTGCCTAAGCTCCTGCAGTTGGCCAAACATGTTGCCTGGGCACCTGTGCTTCGGACTCACATTCCGACATTCTTATCTGCCTCTCAAGTTTGTGCACAGCTTGATGTTTTCTCGGTGCTGCCTCGAACATGGGTTCCCGCTCGGATCGGTCACGCTCGCCTATGCGAGAGACGATGCGAGCACTCGCAGCGGGAGCTACCGCAGGAGACGGCGACAGAGCTCATCGACCTAGTGGTCCCCCAGTGCCACACCCGGCAAGCCCTGGAGATGAGCATCCAGCCTTTGGAGCACATGCAGGTGTGGCACCACACACCCCAGCAGCTCTCTTCCGACCGCCACCAGCGATTGATGCTCTGCCTATGTTCTCCATCACCATGCCGCATAATCTCCAATTCAGGATCGAAGTCATCATCCGCACCGCACCGAATGAACGCCTCGCGGCCGAGTGACTCTGACTTTGGAGCTTTTGAGGGCCATGTTGCACAATTTTGGACAGCGCTAGCAGATCCACTCTTCTGTCGAAGAGATACCAGAGCTGTTGCAGCAGTGGTGCTGATAAAGATGCTGGGGCTTACCTTTGGATTGTCAGCAGGTAGCTTGCCTTCTTCGATGCCGCCAGCCTGCTTTTCTTCCGAGTTTGTCTGCTTGGCTCCCTCAGGTCCAGCTTTACCTGCAAAGAGCACACCGACATATCGTATCCGGCTCAGGCCGTCGGATGCTTCCTCTAGTGCGGTGTCCTGGGTTAGTCAAACTAGTTCTTCCTGCATTGCAGGGGACTTCGGTTCTACACGGAACTCCTTCCGAAGTGCCAACAGTTGCCTCAGCCAACGGGGCCCACACAAGGTATGCCAGCTTCGCTCTGGCTTATGCTCGTGTCTTACTGCCTGCTGCTGCAGGCGATGCTCGCAGACAGGCCCGACGACTGGTCAGTGCCCAGGTACGCCGTCATACGGATCGGATTGCCTACTTTTGTCTGAGCTCGTCAGGGCTGCAACGCCTCGGTTTCGACCGCTTCGGCTGATCGCTCCGCCTCTTCACCCACTGGAGTGCTTCTCCACGGTGACGGCCCTGCAGTTGCCCCGTCCCTCTGGACGGTGCTTAGATTGCAGGCTGCAACAAGATTCCGCCTTCAGATGGATCCGGTGCCAACTCTTGCACAACGGTCGGACACCTGGCCATCAGATGCCGGATCTCGGGCATTTTGCAATACTGGCCTGTCTGTGCTCGGTTGCTGCCCTTAGGACGCTTTACCAGGTAAGGCTTGCCACGTCAAAGAAAGCGCGGCTCCTGGCTACAGTGCTGTTGCCCCCTGTAATTCTGGCAGTGCTTTCATTAGCTTGCTGTGGGTATCTGTTTGACACCAGGTGTGATCGACTTGCACAGCTTGGACTGACTAGGCTGCTGCCTTTGCTGACTTCATTTTGTGGGAGTGTGCTCTCTCTTTTGCTCGACCGATCCAGGATGCGAGGTCATCGCCTCACACACCGACTCTGCAAAGGTATATACCGACGCAGAATTTTGAAGCCTGGCACCTTCCGAGCTTGGAGAAATGCGCTGGCTCACAAGTTTCCTATTCCGGCAGGCTCTCGGTACGGCATGCAGAGTGGATTGTTCAGCAATGCAGTTGTGATGCTCTCTCTTTTGCTCCAGCATCTCTCTCTGGTCGGCCGTTTGTGTTGCACATGGTGGGTAAGGCCAAACAGGCTTCTGCATCGGCGGCTTCGCGCCCACGCTCTTCTAGGAGTGCTCCGGCTGGCCATTCTCGCCCTCGGGCGAAGCCTAAGGTGCCGACCAGGAACAGGACGGAAGCTGCTTCCCCCAAGGTGGCAGCCAAGAAGGCTTCGGCAAAGAAGGCCTCTGCAAAGTCTTCCTACAAGCCTTCCTCTAAGCCTTCGTCAAGGCCTCGTAGACGACCGGCAGCTACTGCTCCTTGCTGCTCTTCAGACACTACTTCATCGGACAGTTCCTCATCGGACACCTCCAGCACGGTGGCAACCAGCCCCAGTTTCAGCTTGGGGCGTGACAGTGACAGTATGCAAGCCTTGGCGCCTCCCATTGAATCACCTGACCCAATGGAAGATGTGGTTGTCGAGCAGTATGGCTTTGCCACAGCCTTTGCCGAAGCCTTCGGCAGGGCTGTTGGTAGGCAGGTTCCGCCCTCTGTTGTCCACGACGAGGTGGATAGCGATGAGATTACTGAGCTCCCCCTTGATCCAGCAAAGCCCGTCACTGAGACTGTTCCGGAAAAGGGCCTTTCGTAGAGCCCAAAACCGGGCCACACGAGACGGTGCCACATGGTACCGAGGACGTTGGTTCACCAAAAAGCAACTACAAGCAGCAGGCTCCTCACTATCACATCCCACATCACTCAGATCGAGCCCTGCTGCCAGGTCATCGTTCACTTGTAAGCTTCCAGCGTGGCCGCCAGCCACAGATGATGCAGGAGCAACCTTTCGTAAAAGCCCACAACAACTGTGTGTCTTTAGTCTTAACATCGGCAGTTTGACTGCCGAAGTATACGACGAGTTCTGTCGCTGGCTTCAGCTTCCGAGCACCGTAGCCACAATTGACGTGATCTTCCTTCACGAGACCTGGAGGGGCTCCAGCGATTATGTGATACCTGGCTGGTGCTGGCTCACGTCAGGCCAGAAACCCCTGCCGGGGCAGGGGGTAGCGATCTTAATCAACCGCCGGCTGGTTGACCCAGCCCTCATCAGGTATAGAGAAGTACGCATTGGAAGAATTCTACATGTGCAGATCCCCCTTTGCAACGAGCCTCAAGGCCGACTTCTTAACCTGATTTGTGTTTACATACCTGCAAAAATTTCTGAATCCAAACAGGTCTATGAAAAACGGGCGGCGATTTGGAATGCCCTAGACGCTCTTGTGCAGGCCCTTCCCAGCAGACACTTCATGTACCTTGCTGGTGATTTCAACACCGATTTGCTTCAGGAGCATCCTTATGTTGGAGTGACACACACCCACAAGGGCAAAGAACGTGCGGTTGCCCAAGATCAGCACATTTTTCAAAATCTCCTTCGGACACATGGCTTGCGAGCACTCAATTCGTGGGACAATCAAAGTACTTATGTTGACCCGCATGGTCCTGCCTCTAGGGTGGACTTTGTCCTTGCGAGAACCATGCAGGCCACGGGTTGTCCCGTCACCGTTCAGCCACAGATCCATTTTGCATCCTGGCGCTCCGGAGCCAGGCATATGCCTCTTTTGGGTATGATTGACTTGAAGGCCTGGTGTCGCTTCCGGGATCGTACTCCAGCCAAGCTTGCCATTGATCAGGATGCTTTGTGCCGGGCCTGTCGCCCCGGCCCTGAGCTTGAGATACTTCGCCAGGCCTTTGCTGCCAAGCAACACCTTTTTACAGCTGATTTGCTACCCTCCCAAGCGGAGGCTGAGCTTCGCAACATCTGTGTCAAGGCTTTTCCTTTGCAGCGAAATCGAACCATTGCTGTGCAGTGGCAAAACCCGGAGGTTGGTCAGGATTTGTCTCTCACTTGGCAACTGCGTCGCAGCCTCAAGCAGCAAGCCGCCTTTTGGCCGCATCTGTCGTTTACGTTTAGAGCATGGAGGTTGCATGTACAGCTAAGCCGAAGAGTCAAAGAACTGAAACGCAACAGCCGTCGTAGGCGACGCGAACATTGGCAAGCACAGCTTTCGGAGGCGGAGCAAGCAAGCAAAGCTGGCAACCCGCTGAAATTCTTTCAAGTTGTGCAGAGGCTGGCACCCAAGCGAGCACATGCACGAGTTCAGATCCGTGATCCCAAGGGTCAGATCCTCACTCCAGCCTTGGAAGACAAAGCCCTTGCAGACTACTGGCAAGGTATCTACTCCAGCACCAGTCTGCCTTATCAGGCTGTTTGTCTTCGTGAGTCACTCCTTGTAACCCAGCTCCTGATGCTCTCCGAGGCCTAAAACAACGAAAAGCTGTAGCCAAAGATTTGGCTCCGGCTGCTGTCTGGAAGGCCCTTGCCTCTCCTCTGTCTTGCTATCTGAATGCCGTGCTGAGAAAAATCTGGCAGCCTGGTCCGCTTCACATTCCATCTGTTTGGGCAAGGTCGGATCTACATTTTCTCTTGAAGCCTCAAAAAGTCACGCGACGGCCGCAGGATTTGCGCCCAATTGCCCTCCAATCGGCGGCGGCAAAGGCAGTCCTGACAGTCTTTAAGCAACGCTTGCAGCCCAGCTTCTTGGAGGCTATGCGCACCCTCCCACAGTATGCCTACGTGATGGGAAGGTCCACTCACGAGGCTATCTCGCGGGTAGCGGCACATTGCAAGGAAGTCCGTGACTTGCTCAGGTCTCAAAGCTTGACGGTTTTCGATCGATTTGAAGGTGCACGTTACACCCCGTGTATTGGTGGGGCCCAACTTTGGCTCGATCTGTCGAAAGCTTTCGACCTTTTGCCCCGAAGGACCTTGCAGCTTTTGCTACGAGACACAGACCTTTCTCTTGAAGAACAGCAGGTTCTACTTGAATGGCATCAGGCCGGCAAGTATAGGATACATAGCAAGGGCAACGAGCATCCGGTCTTTGTTCGGCTTGAATGTGGGGTTAGGCAGGGATGCGTGTTGTCTCCTTTCTTGTGGGGGTTGTTCACCAAGCACATCCAAAAACGCCTTGATGAGGCCAACGGCCCAGGATGGACTGCCCGGCGTGGCACTCTCTTTGCGGATGATATGCATTTTAAATGGGTTTTCCGCACAGAGGCTGAATTGCATAGCATCCGTCTTGAGGTTCTCAACATCTTTCGCATACTGCGTGAGCTTGGCATGCAGGCCAACCCCGACAAAAGTACCTTTATCATAGGTGCCAGAGGACAGCAAGCGCGAAAGTGGGTGAAACGCTGGGTCCGCAAGGACTCCGACGGTCGCAAGCAATTCCATTTTGGAGGTGCCAAACAAGATAGAGTCCCAGTGGCCAGTCAGCTTACCTATCTTGGAGTTGTTCTCTCTTATCGGAATTTCGAGTTGGCGACTGCTAACCATAGGATAGGGGTAGCCGCAGGCCATCGTGATCGGCTCCGCCGAATTTTGCATGCCAGACGTGTGCTCAGTGTGGGGCATCGCCTCCGATTGTGGCGCATTATGGTGCAGACGTCGCAGTTATATGCTGTTGAAGCTGTTGGCCTGACCGCTGAGACGGCCAAGCTCCTTCACATCCAGACTATGCGGCATATGCGAGCGATTATTGGCTCTGCCAGGCACGTGGATGGGGATTCGGATCAGCTTTTCATGCTTAAGCATTGCATTCCTGATTGTGTAGAGCTGGTTAAGACAAAGTGTGACGCTTTTTGCCAACGATTGGCACGAACTGAGCTTGAGATCCCATGCTTTGGTGCCGAGGGCATTTTGCAATGGGCACAGTTTGTGCGGGACTCACTGCCGCCACCCTACATTGCCAAGCCTCGGTCTCAGCCGACTCCTGCATCTTCGGCCTCTGTACCCACCCCCGTCCCTGAGGATTCAGCACCCAGTGCTCACCCCAAGCCTGTACCATTGCCTCCGCTGTCTAGTGAGCGTGATGTTGCTGGTGCAGTTGTTGCTTCTGCACCCTCTGCTCCTACACTGGCCCCGTCCTCGGGGCCACCAGCACCCTCTAAGCCCGCGAACGGCTTCTCTTGCGCGATCTGTGATCAGGTCTTCTCCAACCTACACGATCTCAAGACACATGAGGGCAAGGCCCACAAGAAGGTCCGGGATAAAATTGCCCAAGTTCAGCACACTGAGCATGGCTACAACGGCTTTCCCAGATGCAGGCACTGTGGTGACAAATTCTCCAAATGGAGTGCGCTTACCAGGCATGTTACCAGGCAGGGCTGCCCTGCCCTTGAACGTGGTGAGCCGGAAGCATATGCAAAGTCGCAGGCTGAGGCTATGGTGACACCCCACGTGCAAAGGCCACACATTATGCAAGCCATACGTGAAAATGGCTGGGAATCGCTCTTGACCAATGCTGATCTGTGTGTCGACCTCAAGCAACGGTGTGCCTTGTGCTATCAATGGGTCGTCTCGGGGAATGGAGTTAGGAAACACCTTCGCCTTAAACACCCTGAGCACTTTCTCCTTCACGAAACTGCTATCAGCCAACAGACTGCTCTGTGGAAGTCCTTCATAGCCTCGCCGTGTCAAGCTTGCGGCACCCACATTGTGGATCGTCGCCAACATGCAGGCAGCTGTCTTGTTCTTCTGCAATTGATGCTCATGTCGTGCATGTTGGTTGGACATTGCAAATCCAGCAAAGCTCCGGCAGGATCCAGTGCTTCAAGAGAAGCAGCTGTGGGGGCATCTTCTGCCCTCTCTGGAGGAGGCGGTTCAGGATTGGCCAATGAATCACGACGACAGCAAAGGGGACAAGCCATCGGAGGCAAAGTCGAAGGACCTGAACAAGCGCCGTCGAACAAACGACAATCCAAGCTTCAGTTCGGACAAGCAAGATCGCAAGGGCAAAGGCAAGGGCAAGGGCAAGACCAAATCCTCGAAGGATGCAAGCAAGATGGAACTGAAGGAGGCGGTTCAGCTTATGGCGGCCATGACTCTGCAGCTAGTGGATCAGGCGAGCAGGGTTCAGCTGGACACCAGCTTTCTACTTACCATGAAGAACGAGCCGGGTCCGGAAAACCTGTTACCCATCATGTACAAGGTGTGGAAAGCCTGGAAAACCATGCAAGAACAGGAGCCAAGCAAGCTGGACAAACCTCTTCGTTGCAGTATGATGATCTCCATGCTTCTGGAAATCAAGGCCAGAGCCAAAAAGCTACTGGACGACTCCGAGCAGCAGGAACGCATGAAGGCTCTCGAGTGGATCGACTCCGAGGGTCGATGGGTTTATCGCAAATGGTCTCCAACTCAGGAGGCTCTGTACCTCGATCAGTCCAGGAAGCCGATTCCTCAAACAGCATTCATCGAGCAGCTGGATCAGGCCATGACTTTGCTGGTACGTCCGGAAAACATGCCGAGATTTCAGTCGAGGGAACTGGCACCGGAGATGAAGGGCTACGCGGTGACCTTTCATGTGGACATCGGGCTCCGCTCGGAAGCAGAGCCTCTGTGGCAGATTTTCAACACATGGGTGGACCTCCAGGCCTGGGTGTTGGGGGCGGTGAGAATTCGGCCCCATCGGCTGAAGCGACCGCCCGCGGCCGATCGTCTATCGGTCTGGCTTGGCAATCACTGAGGCTTCAGAATCCTAGCAATCATTGTTATGCTAATTCTGTGGTGCTTGCTTGTGGTCGATGGCTGCAGCCTTCACCTCTGTCTGCTGCTGCCGCAGGTGCCAATCCTTTCATGAAAGCGCTTGCTGCACTACAAGGCTTAAGCTTCTCTCGTGATTATGGCCTCTTCAACATGCTCTCTTGGAGGTCGCTGTTTACGGGGTGGAGCAGGCCGAATCAACAGCATGATGCGACGGAATTCCTTCTTCATCTGCTGCGCCAGGGGTCTGATGCTCCTTGGGTGAGCCGCTGGCTGGCTGGTACACAACTAGGCGACCGCTTCGAGGTTGAGGATTCGGGCTCCAATGTCATCTTGATGCCTATTGCAGGTGCTGGCGATGCTACAAGGTACACTCTCCAAGAGTGTGTCCAAGCCTGGCATATGCAGCCTTCGCAACTCTGGGAAGGAAAAACAAGTCTTTATTGCCTCAGTGAGTTCGAAACTCATGTGTGCATTGTGTTGCAACGCTTCCACGTTGGTGCTACCACGATCAGCAAGTGCCACACTCCGGTGCAGGTGGATTCTACATGTGAGTTGCCGGTGTATCGTGCTGGAGCTGTTATGTGGCAGCCCTTTCATGTATGTGCAGTGACTTATCACATTGGCGAGTTGCCGACCAGCGGTCACTACCGAAGCATTCTTTACTTGAATGATGGGCTGCAGCTTGCAACTGAAGACAAAGTGAAAGCTAAGAAACTGAGTGCGAAGGATCGTAGCTTAGGCAGTGCTGGTGCTTACATTGTGTATTTGTCCTCAAATCCTTGATTGTTGCTTTTGCATTGCATCGTACTCGTGTGTTTCACTGACGGCTCGCTGACACTCGTGTCGGGGCGCCATGCTGGCACTCGTGCCGATGGCTGAATGTGTGCGTAGTTGTACACAGTCGCTTGTTACATGTAACACACGTGTAACATGTAGTGACCGGGTCCAAAAGGACTTGTTCTTGTGCCACTTGCGCGCAAGGTGGAGACCGCAACTCTCGCCCGCGTTTTCAAAGTCAAAAAGTACTGCCAGCAGACAGTGTTTGCCCACATGTGGCTAGCCCGGTGGGATTCACTGCTTTTGCTCACTCTGAGCCGATGCCACTGTGCATTGTAGCGTAGCGCGAGACTGCTGGACAGTTTGCGTCATACAAAGTACAAAAGTACTGCCAGCAGAGCTCGGGAATGCGGGCCCGGCCCCAAGCCACTGCGTTCAATTCGCCACGTGCGTGGGCTCCCCGGCCTTCCACCAGTGGAGCAGGCCCGGGTGGACAGTGCCAACACTATATATGACAACATGGTGGCCTTCTGTGAGTGGCTGTTTCATGCCATGCCGCATGTCCCTTTCTCGGTTGAGAACCCATTGCATAGCTACCTTTGGCAGCTTCCGAAGTGGGCCGCGCTGGTTTCAAGGCACTCCTTTCGTCACATTTGACTCGTGCCTCCACGGGTCACAACGCAAGAAGGCCACGGCCCTTCTCACAAACTCCCAGCTTTTACACTGCCTTTCCGGACCCTGTCCAGGTTGCTCCTCGCATCTGCCATGGGGCAAGCAGGGCCGCTCTTTTGCCACTGCTGACGAGACGGGCTATCCCAAGCTTCTTTGCGAAAGGATCGTCGCATGCGTGGATTAGTCGGCCGCATCACGAGGCATTGCGCCAGAACGCCTAAGTGTTTCCAAGGTCTCTGCTGCACGTGCCGCAGGTCAGGTGCAACCTCGTGGCCGAAAGTTCCCGCCCATCATTTCCGAATTTGCTTACACCGTCTCAGTTGGCAGTGCTGAGGCTCCCACTCTCAATTCCAAGCATTGCCTTTCGACTGCCTGGCATGGCGTCCCTGCAGGTGCCAAGCTCCTCCGGGAGTCAGTTGAACGGGGAGGTTCGCGACTCCCTGAGGGCAATAAGTTCTACATTTTCGGCGTGTATCGATCCATGCAAGCTTTCTTGAACGAGGCAAAGTTAGTTGTGCATCCCTTTGATTCCGCCAGATCACTTCCCGATGAACTTTTGCGAGTCTTGTTCGACACCCTTACGAAGAGCCCGGTCGACACGATGAGGCACCGCCTTCTGAAGCTACAGCATTGGCGTGCCCTCGCCAAGCAGCTTGAGCCCGAGGAAGAGAAAATCAGGTCGGCTATGGATCCTTGTGTGCGGAAGGTCCTCGGGTGTAAACGTATTGCGCTCATGAAGAGGGTTGCCGCCGACTTGTCGTGGCCTGACACGACTCTCTTCGATGACCTTGCTGCCGGCTTTAAGCTAACGGGGTACTTAGGACGCACGGGGGTCTTCGCTAGTGATGTTAAGCCTGCCACGATGGACCTTGACGAATTCTGGGCGAGTGCTCCCCTTCGAAGGGAAACTCTTCTTGAGAAGGTCAGGGCTCAGAAGGACCATGATTATGCCGAGGGGCTCTGGGACATGACACTTGAGGAGTCAAACAGATCCGGGAAGTGCTGGCTTGACGGCCCGATAGATGTTGACTCTTTGGGGGACACCTTCCCCGAAGGCTGGAACGCCTGCCGGCGTTTTGCAGTCTGGCAGGGCAAATGGCGTGCCATCGATGATTTCTCGGAAGCTGCAGTGAACTCTTGCTTCGGATGCTTTGAGCGTGTCACGCTTAAAGCCCTTGATGAGATATGTTGGCTGTGCATGCAGGTTTGCCGTGGGGCAAAATCGTCGGGCTCCCTCGATCTGGAGCTCAGCTCGGGTGAGAGACTCAAGGGGCCTCTCCATTCTGCGTGGAAGGACCCTGACCGCGTCCGTCCTCACTGCAAAACTTATGACCTTCAGGCAGCGTACAAGCAACTTGCATTGCACCCAGGCGAGAGGCCGAAATCCATTATCCTGCTCAGGGAGCCCGGCTCCTGCGCTGTGAAAGCCTTTGTGTGCAACACTCTTCCTTTCGGGGCTTCGGGTTCAGTCATGCAGTTTAACCGGGTGGCATTGTTTCTGCAAAGGGTTCTTTGGGATTTGAGGGTAGCTGTGACTTGCTACTGCTACTACGACGACTTCCCGACCATGACACCCTCGTTCTTGTCGGGCGGGACGGACAATGCAGTTCATGCCCTCATGGACTTGTTCGGCTTCTCCTTGTCCGAGAAAGAGAAGCCGTTCTCTTGCACTGCAGAGACTTTGGGTGTTGTGCTCGATACTTCGGATCCCGACATGGGGCGCATCTTCGTATCGAACAAGCCTGAACGGGCTGCCATGCTCGAGGAGTCCATAGGCCGCATCCTTGAACAAGGCCAGGTGGACACGAGGGAGTTGCCCTCCCTTCTTGGCAAACTTCGCTTTGCAGATGCTCAGCTGCTCGGCCGCACGGGGCGTTTGGCCCTGGCTGACCTCAGGCTCCTAGGTGACAAAGGTGGTGTCTTGCAGTTGACCGATTCGCAATCGAACGCCTTGGCTGTCTTGAGGGCGAGACTTCTTGCGAGCAGGCCGCGAGCCATTGCTACGAGCCCGCCTTCGAATCCAGTCCTTATCTTCACAGATGGCGCATGCGACCCGTGTGAGGGCGGCTTCACCACGGGTGTTGGAGGAGTCCTCTTTGTTCCCGGCAAGGGGGTAGCTAGAGCTTTCGGCTGCAGGGTTCCAACCAAGCTCGTCAGGCAATGGGCCGAAGGTAGGAAACACATTATAGGGCAGGTCGAGCTTTACGCGGTGGTGCTCGCCAGGATCTTGTGGTCGAGTTACATTGACGGCGAAAGATGCATATTTTTCGTTGACCATTCGGGTGTGCTGAGTGCTTGCATCAACTCGAACTCGATCGATGCATCGTGGAGAAGCCTGCTCCTCCACCTGGAGGCTGCCGATGAAGCACGGCCGTGTTTGCCCTGGTTTCATCGTGTCCCGAGTCAGAGTAACATCGCGGACCCACCTTCGCGAGGCAGATGGGACGAGCTAGCATTTCTCGGGCCTTTTGATCGTGACGCACCGACTTGCTTTGTCACTGGTGAGGCGCTTGATGCAACGTAACACATAGTCGAGAGGGGGAGATTGGTGGTCACGTTGCACTCCAAGGTGCGACTGGATCTGTTGGCACGCCTGGTGCCTCGACTTAGGTGGAGGGGCACTCTTAGTGACTTAGTGCCCGGTGCACACGTTGTGCACTTGTGTTTTCCGTGAAAACTCCCCATGACTCTCGGCTGTGCCGTGAAAACAAGTGCGAGCGTTCTGCATCAATTTCTTATCATTTGTATATATTCGAATCGGACCGACATATGTGGTCGACAATTCTTTATATGATTTGGAGTGGAGATATTTGATCGAGGTATTTATACTTGATTCAAATATGTGATTGTCATGGATGACCGGATCTATAAGCATCTCTTCACGCGGGCGTGTCGATGTTTTATAGATCCTAGGTCAAACGAAATTTTGTAAGCAACAGAATTTTGGGCCATGACAATCTTTGCACTACTCCTAGTAGTGCTTTCGAATCAAACTTTTACAGCTTTCAACAGTTGATTCACGATTTCATTTCTCCGAGCAAGCGACGATCTTTCTTCAGTGTCAGTGCACGTCCACTTGCTCATGATCAAAACCGTGACCACTGAAGCTGTCTCGAGTTCGAGCCAGAAATTTTTGATCCCGCCCACCCACCCTGGGGGGAGATTGGTGGTCACGTTGCACTCCAAGGTGCGACTGGATCTGTTGGCACGCCTGGTGCCTCGACTTAGGTGGAGGGGCACTCTTAGTGCCCGGTGCACACGTTGTGCACTTGTGTTTTCCGTGAAAACTCCCCATGACTCTCGGCTGTGCCGTGAAAACAAGTGCGAGCGTTCTGCATCAATTTCTTATCATTTGTATATATTCGAATCGGACCGACATATGTGGTCGACAATTCTTTATATGATTTGGAGTGGAGATATTTGATCGAGGTATTTATACTTGATTCAAATATGTGATTGTCATGGATGACCGGATCTATAAGCATCTCTTCACGCGGGCGTGTCGATGTTTTATAGATCCTAGGTCAAACGAAATTTTGTAAGCAACAGAATTTTGGGCCATGACAATCTTTGCACTACTCCTAGTAGTGCTTTCGAATCAAACTTTTACAGCTTTCAACAGTTGATTCACGATTTCATTTCTCCGAGCAAGCGACGATCTTTCTTCAGTGTCAGTGCACGTCCACTTGCTCATGATCAAAACCGTGACCACTGAAGCTGTCTCGAGTTCGAGCCAGAAATTTTTGATCCCGCCCACCCACCCTGGGGGGAGATTGGTGGTCACGTTGCACTCCAAGGTGCGACTGGATCTGTTGGCACGCCTGGTGCCTCGACTTAGGTGGAGGGGCACTCTTAGTGCCCGGTGCACACGTTGTGCACTTGTGTTTTCCGTGAAAACTCCCCATGACTCTCGGCTGTGCCGTGAAAACAGGTGCGAGCGTTCTGCATCAATTTCTTATCATTTGTATATATTCGAATCGGACCGACATATGTGGTCGACAATTCTTTATATGATTTGGAGTGGAGATATTTGATCGAGGTATTTATACTTGATTCAAATATGTGATTGTCATGGATGACCGGATCTATAACGACGGGTCTTTCCACTTACGATGGCCTGGACTTGGACTTGTGGACTTTAGTGTGCACGATCGGGACACAACAGGACCTCGGGGTCGTCCGTTGTTCGACGGAACTAGAACGGCGGCCGGAGCCTTGATTTGGGCTCCACTGACGGTCTTGGGCAACTTTGGGCGACGGCCTTCTGTTGTTGTTGAACGATCGCTGAGGACCCGTAGCATATGCTGAACGGTTAACCCCGGCAAAGCCTGGGCACCGCAGCTAGCTCCGCTTTCTCCAATTAGGTACCTGTTTCACCGCTGTTTTGTTATTGTTTGGTGGTTTGTTCGTTTGTAGGGACCGAGTGCTACAGCCGTAGTCGACGAGGCCCATGCAAGCCAAAAAAAAAACATGCAGCGCGTGCTGGATCAATGGCCCCCTTCGACTTCGAAGTGTGCCCGTTAAGGAAGCTCGGCCCAATCAGTCAATTCCACTGTCCATGACATTCGACAAACGTCGAAGGGTCTTTTGTCCTGGCACCCGCCACTGGTTGTTGGCTCCGTGGACTTGTGGATTTTCCGTGCACGATCGTGACACAACAAGACCTCGAGGCTATCCGTTGTTCGACGGAACTAGAACGGCGGCCGGAGCTTTCGGTCGCTGAGGCACCGTAGCTTGTGCTGAACGGCCAACACCGGCAAAGCCTGTGCGCCGCAGCTAGCTGTCGACCTCTGTTAATTAGCCGCCATGTTTCACCGCTGTTTTCGTTTGTTTGTTGTTTGTTTGTTTGTAGGGACCGAGTGCTACAGCTGTAGTCGACGAGGTCCGCTCAAGCCAAAAAAACGAAACCTGGGTTTTTAAACCCGGGTTCCAAATCTGGGTTGGGTTTTAGAACCTGGGTTTCAAACCAGGGTTCCAACCTGGGCTAGGGTTTTTAAGGTTCCAAATCTGGGTTAGAACCTGGGTTTCAAACCTGTGGAACCTGGGTTTAACCTGGGTTTGAGCCTGGGTTTCAACCTGGGTTAAACCTGGGTTCATTAAACCCGGGTTCCAAACCTGGGTTAGAACCTGGGTTTCAAACCTGGGTTCAAACCTGGGTTATAAACTGGGTTTAAATCTGGGTTTAACCTGGGATTGAACCCAGGTTCCATGTCCGTTGTTCTGTTGAAGCTGCCGCCACGAACTGCGTTTCGTTGCCACCGCCACGCGTGTTTTGTTTGGAGTCACTTGTGCGATGAGTAAGCCGCCGCTTTGGTGTCATTGACAGATTCGAAATATCTCTCTGTCTCTCATCAACAGCTGGAGTTGGCGCCGCAGGACCTCGAACCACCAGCGGTTCAACTGCTGCGCCTTCGACTTGAGCTGCGTCACCAAGAGGATGCGTGCCTCCTCCAGGGAGGGCGGTGGGGCAGCATCATCCAGTGCCAGGCAGTAGCATTTCCTCCAGCGGTTGCCGCAGCAGGGTCTGCATTCCCAGGCAGCTCTCTACCCTGTCTTTGTCTTTCTGTTCCGCTCCGTGGGTGAGAGATTCAAGGTCATGCACTTTCGAGAACAATTCCTGCTTGCTCGCCTGGGGAGGTCACCACCGTCAGGCAAGCGGCGGCAATTCGAGACTCGACAGCCGTCATGCTGAGCTGGATCGCTTTCTTGACATCTAAACAGCTACTTGTACGGATTCTACGGGAGCGGTAGACTTGTGTATTGTTGACCGGGTTGGTGTTAGTAATCTTTTGTTTGATCTTGTTGTTTCTTACTGGGGCCGAGCGCAGTAGCCGCTGTTGTGTGTGTGTGTGTGTGTGTTTTCAATTTCCAATTTCATTTTGTTTTCTTTGCTTGTGCCCCCTAAAGCGAGATCGTTTTGATTTTATTTTCGGTGACATCGTTTGATTTTTTTCGTTCGCTTCTCATCTAAAGAGATTTCGTGCTTCTTCTTCTTGTGTGTTTGAGAAGATGTTGGTTTGGAGATAGTATGGTTAAGTCAGTTTTGTCCAGTTTGCGTTGCAAAAATTCAACTGTAGCGCTTGTTGTGTAGTTTGATATGTCATGTGTGTGTCTCTTTCTTTGGCAGAGGTCAAAAAAAGAGACCTTAGAGGCCCTCCGGGGTCCGAAAAGACACGGAGTCAGTTACGAGATGTTTCAGGGCCGAGAAAAAGACGGCTTAAATCGTTGAGTGGAGGTCGAAAAAAGGACCGTAGTCTTTTTTTAGACCTCGTCGCGGGGCTGAAAAGAAAGATGGAGTCGGAAAAAAGACATGCCGGGGTTGAAATCAAGATGGATCAAGCGCGCGGTCTGAAAAAAGACATTTCGGGGTCGAAAAAAGGAGCAGCCCTTTTCAGGTATTTGTTGTGCATCCTGCCTACTTTCCGCATTGTGGCTGGCTACAAAATGCTTTGAAGCAATGTCACACCTCCATAGTGCCAAACGCAACACTGACAAGGCCGTAGAACAGAAAGAGAGCGGAGTGCAAGCCTTGTAAAATCTAATCCGTCCCCATACTAAATGCATCATTCTTGCGCAATCTTGAAACTGAGCTTTCAAGCTTTGCGCTAAAAACTTTTCGACTATGGGAGTTTTCGCAATCCAGAACTTCTCCGACACAAAATTTTTCGAACATTTGCACTTTTCGCCGGAGGAGCGATTACGCTTCTAAGAGCAGTCGCTGGAACCCAAGGGTGAAAACGTGATTCAAACGATTTTGGATATGAGGCTATTACTTCAAAACAAGTTTAATTTTTATAATCCCCAGAGTCTTTTCCCAGGCCGAAAAAAATTAAATACACCATGTTTCCAAAAAACGTTTGATGTTAGTGTGCAGTTTCCCAAAGCACAGTCTGATGCCGGCTTGTTGACTTTGGATGTTTGTCATCATTTCTTTCGGAAAAGCGACAGTAGACTCAGTAGACTTGAAGTTTACGGTTTCAGATTGCTTTCTCATATGATTTTTTTTTTGATTTTCGTTTGACCTTCAATAAAAGAAGAGAAGGCTGGGGACTGTTCGCAGAGTCACCAGGATGCCGGCCGATGCATTTGCATGCTGCAAAAGGCATGTTGGAAGTCGATTTTGATGCTGTGCTCACCATAGCGTTATGCAACGATTTCCACAAATAATCACGAATGCATCATGTAGTCGACGTGTCGGTCATCATGCATATGTACACATCCTACATCGATCCTGATGTTCATCTGGCTGAGTCCGGATCCGACCTTTATGCAACATTGGACGTGTTTTGCTTGCGATGGACGAGATCGTCGCATCTACTGATGCAGTGCAGCTTGCCAACAGCATGGACAAGGCCTGGTTCAGTATGATTTCGGTTCAAGTGGGTTCGAATCATTGCTCACGTATATACGTATGAATCCATGTTAAAAATGATCGGCAGATTGTTGCGGCAGGTTTTGCCCGGAACGCCGCAACACGAAGCTCTGGAAACTCCGCAGTGCCGGTTCTGCTTGGAGGAAGGATCGGCTGAGGCCCGGTCATTAAATCCACGACGTTGGGTAAAGTGTTTGCTTTGTCAGTTGAAACCATCGGATGCTCCGTCGCAGGATTTCATAATTCCATGCAAATGCGAAGGCACAAGTCGCCCTCTTCTTAGTATTGGTTCGTTTCGTAACGAAGACCGCAAGCGTCGTATATGCGGAAACAACTGGTAAACGCGTCGTTGCAGCTAGCCACGTTGCACACTGCCTTCTGTCTGTTAGACAGACACATGGCGGCATTCGGCATATCAGAATCCTTCGCTTGCAGTCTGAGGATTCGTACACGAAAGTTGTTTGCGACGCTGGCAATCCGAAGATCCTTGGACTGGCTTGGCTGCTGCTTGTGCACGTGACATTCATGACGCAGAGGGCAAATTCTCCAAGTATTGAAGATGTCTCTGCTGCGTAGCGATGCCGAGGCGTTGAGCTATGAACATGCGCTCATATGTCAAGTGCCCCTCCGGTAGTGCAACAGTTGTGCTTCGAGTGGTTTTCGTGATAGCAGGCGATATCGTGTTGGGTTTCAACCTACGCATTTGTGTCGCTCGGCTCCAAGCGTCATCGCATCGGTGGGCACACAGCCAAAGCTCAGCGCTATGGCGCCGAAGGCCAGGTTCAAGACTGCTTGGTGGTGCCTCGTTGCATGTATTTCGGTTCGGATGTATCGCTCTCCTTATTGCGCAGTGTCTCTCGCAGGCCACAAGGCCTGCAAGGCCTGCGAGGCACAGGGCGCTTGGCCCAATGGGACTTTGCGGCTTCTGCGGTGCGGCTGCCTCACGACAGAAAGTACTTGCTGAACTGGATGGAGCAACTCCTATTGACTCTGAAAATCTAAGGTGGCTTTGCTGATGCTGTCCGGCACTCAATGTAGAGGGCTAGTGAGCTGAGGAGCGACTTTCCCGACGTAGTGACAGTGCGGACTGCGAGATTCAACATGTCGGTGTGCAACCAGCATGCCATGAATCATGAAGCTTTGAGTGTCTAGTTTGCAGAACATGCTGACGTACGAGTCCGTATGGCTTGACTTAAAAGCTCTGGTTGTGTGGCGTACCGTTCCAAAGTAACAGCTTCAAGCATGTGTGTTGTTGTGCTGTAGGCCTGGCAGAAGTCTGGACTTCCTGCAGGCACCTGGCACCAAGGCCAGACCCGGCTGCTTCGAAGAGACGACATTCAGTGTCGCAACTTCCCTGTCTCTTGCGCAGAGTTCTTGCTCAAACCGTATGGTCAGATGCATGCAAGCTCTTCGGATTTCGAGGCGAATTATCAAGGCTGCTTCTCCAAGTTCAACCCGACCAAATCCGAACCCTCAGCCGGAATTCAACAAAAGCCATGGCGAGACGCCATTGGCTGGCTTTCCTACCCTTAGGCCTGGTCTGCCACCGTGCGGTCCTTTGGTTACTCTGTGCTGTCTGCGCGTGTAGGGCACAGTTGTTTGAGGTTTGGCCTTCACAGGCTTCCGTCCATGGCAACCTGCGATTCGGCCGGTTTTCAGGAGCCCACCAACACCGGCCCCGCGCATGCCACGCAGCCATGACATGCCCTGACAGAGGCAAGCAGGTGTTGGTGGCCCATACCCAGAACTATGCGTCTTTGACCTGGATGCTTGTTTGTGGGACAAGGACATTGCCACTTGCAACATGTATCTCCAGGCTTCATCAGGGTGTCTCATTGAAGCTTTCCTGCCACTTGCAACGGGTCGCGGGGTCGTTTTGAGTCCTCAGCAACTAGTCAAGGGACTGACAGACAAAGACTAGGCAAGGTGATTTGATACAGTCCCATCGGGTGTTAAAGCGAGGTTGCTCCTGAAATACAATCGCTTGTACCGAACATCGCGTGAATGGAGACTGTGCGGCTTGTTCGTCATGTATGCTCGATTGTCTGTGACAAGCGCTTGGTGAGCAGAAATCCCGCACCTCCCAGGATGTGATGCAGGTGATGTCGAGGCCTTTGTACCGCTCAGGAGATGTACGAGATGGAGGCCATACCAAAGGACAGTGATGTTGTCCTTGGCGACCTGTGTGGACGTGGTGAAGGCGTCACTGGCGCTGGGGGCCTTTGGGCGAAGTCAGAGTAGATGGCCGTTGTAGCAAATACATCTGCGAAGTGTACCCTTCAAACAAATCTTGATGTCTTCTCAGACTCAGGTCATGAGCGGTGCAGATAAGATTTCATTGCACAAAGGACGCTGCATGTTTGTCCACCAAAGTTCCATCCGTGCTTGATGTGCTTCGCGTCGATCGTGAAGAGGAGCAATGAAAGCTTTGCAAAACCATGCGGATGGTGGCTGGCCCTAAAGTCTCAGTGTTCGCCGTCAACTGACAACCGGGTAGCTGCTTCCTTGGTGTGTGAGATGAAGCAGAGCAGCCTCCGAGGTAAATATCCAGGCATGAAGATAGCTGTGGCCAGCAGCGCAGACACCCCTTTCGCTGAGAAAGTTGGTCGCAAGGCCGTGAGTACTGGACAGCCTGCTGGGTTGTGCAAGCTGTTTACAACTGTTGCTTCAGGCACTATCACTTCTGGAGGCACTGGCGTGGCCTTGTGGTGGTGGTTTGTGGCGTTGGAATGTCTTTCCGCAGGTGTTGCCCGGCGTAACAGTCTGGCAGCTCCTTTTGCGAGACTGGGAGGGGAAGGACGTCAATCAGATTGGCACCTCGACGTACTGTTTGTTCTGTGCTCAGGGCGCTGGGGGCCAGTCTGGACGGTTTAGAAGTTTAGGGTTTAGGGTCTTAAGTCTTGCACCGTCGCTTCCTGTTGGGGTTGAGCTGCGTGGAGTCAGCCCAGGCCGCCAGCCTCCCTTGTCCTCGAACAAGGCGAGGACACACTTTCCGCGATTGAAGGCCGAGAGCTGAGGGGGGTCACATACCAATGCAGGACCAGAGTGAAACCAAAAGCTGGAAGACTGTGCAACGGTGCGAACAATTTAACGAACATGTCTCTGCTGGGCCGACCTGCGCAGTGAGGGTTGTGGTCGGGAAAGTCCTGGAGCAGCAGCATGTCAGAAAAGCGATAGTTTGCAGAAACAGTGTCGAGTGGCTGCCTCCAGAGCACTGCATTCGTACTGGTTGGGCTTTTTCCTGTCCAGGCACAGCGTGTACTCGAAATGGCCTGGGTTTCACAAACCTTAATCCTGCTCGTCCTGGCTGCTCGCACAGAACAGCCGTGTTGCAAGATAGAGCGAGCAGAGCGGTGCGGCAGGAGGCCACGGGTGTGTCGTACGACAGAATGCTGCCTGGCTGATCGTTCGTTCGGACACAACTCCTCGTATCTTGCAAGCTTTCCTGCAAACACGCCAAGGCTTTTCTTCGATGATTGTCTTTGGTGCCTCACCAGAGCTTCGAGCTTGTGCTTTGCATGTCCTATGGCTCGCAAACCATGGCTTGAGAGCTGCCAGGGGCGATCACTGTGGCATGGTCGCGCAGGCCTGCCGCGAAACGAACGGCAAAGGGGTGGTGACAGTCAGGACGCGGAACGCAGAGAGTGATTTGGAAGGTGTGCAGCATGAACTCTGCAACCATGGGAAGGACACCGAGCGGGCTTGGAGAACGTGAGTGGGACCGTGGTCTTACGATGTATGCATCAGCCGGTCGCTAACTGACGGCGTTTCTCTTTCGCCTGCGCTGGCGGAGCTGAAACGGCACGAAGGGTTTTGCATTGCTCACACAAGCTTTGCTTTGCCCTGGAGCCTTTTCCTGCTGGCAGTCCTTGCCTTGACGGCTGTTCGAAGTCGTGGTCTGTTCGCTTTCATGCAATAGTACTCGTAGAGAGCCTGGTTGCAGGCAGAGCGGTCGGCGCAGGCTGTTCTTCCAGGCGAGCATGGGTTCGCAAGCATTGGTCACTCTGCCAGTCTTCCAGGCTCACGGCTCCTTTGTGCTAGCTTCACATTGGCTTAGTTAGCTGGTTTGGTAAATCTGTTCCAGTTTTGGTTGACACGGTGCAGCCGTTTGTGCGAGCGGCTGGGACTCTGATCGGAGCATCTTGTTAGTGGAGATCTACTGAAACGGCGGGGTGTGTTGACGAAGGAAGGAGAGTAATACCGAAGTATTCAGCCAAATTGGTGTCGACTCTCAGTATGAACAGGGGATACCACGGTGGCAAGCACTTGGGACTGTAAACTTTTTGTCCAGACTGAAGCAGGTCAGGCCACGAGATTGCTAGCTGTCGTGGGTCTGTTTAAGCCCTGCCTGCTCAGCAGGAGCTGCCGCGTGGATGATGACCGCACAGGCCCGTGTGATAGCAGATAGCATGCAGCTGCGGCGCGGCTGCAACGCCTCACCGCAACCGGGCTGCCGCTTCGCCTTGCAGGAGGCCTTCGCGGCGGAGGCGCGGCGGCGCCAGTATTTGCCGAGCATGGAGGACCCGGAGCCGGCACCGGACCCGGGTCCGGACGTCAGCTGGGACCTCGGAAGAAGGCAGAACCCGGCCGAACTCGGCAGCTTCGAAGTGCTGAAGTCTCCGTGACTTTTTCGCTTTGCCGGTCGCAAGGCCCCGAACAAGTTGTGGCGACGATTGGAATGGCAGCAGCCCGAGGGTACGATTGAAGTCAGCTTATCTTGTCAAGGCACAGCCGCTTAGAAAGAGTTGTTGTCAATACTTCTTGGTCTGGCCAAGATCCCCAACGTGCTCGTGTTTTTCGCGGTGGCAGCCTGTATCTCAGCATTTTCTTGTTGCCCAAGCAGCTGCTCCTTGCCCGTTGCCTCCAAGTTTCTCTGGTTCAGGGGGCAATCCGGGAATGGATTGCGTCTGGAGGAGGCTGAACATCAGGGGTGGAGAGACGGATGAAGAAGAGAGAGAGCGAGAGAGATGTCTTGTGCGAGACCTGCTTCTGGCTGCGTGCAAGCAAGAGATGTCTTGTGGAAGTCCAGTCTACGGAGCGCGGTGGCAATCTCTCAGTGTTTGGTCCTTGCCGTGTGTACAGGTCAGGCAGTTGTGATGCAGGTTTTCATCATGAGTTTGAGGGACATGCCGAAGCAGAACTGTGGGCGCGCAGGCAAAATAATATGTGTAGCTGGCTCGTGGTTGTGAGTCGCACTTGCTGTTTGTTGTCCTGATGGTGCCTTCGGCAAAGGCGAGAGCAAGGATCGGGTCTGACACACATCTCGGCACAACACCTTGGCACGTTTGTCCGCTGCTTCTCACGTGGCGGATGCATCGGAGGGACCCAGAAATGCCCTCCGCCAACCACTGACATTGAAAGCAGAGCGGCAGTTGTGGATCTTCCCAATGCGCAAGCACCTTGTGAACCGAAATTTGCAGAGCCGACAAGCTTTGTGAGTCAGTCTGCATTGCACTCCTAGTATATGTGAGAGCATGAGAGAACATGTATATGTGTGCTTGAGTGAGTGTGTGTCTGTGTGCGATGGAAATGTGCTATTCAATTTGACTTCGATCACGTCATGACAGATGTCGATGTTATTTTTGATGTTTCATGTCCGCACGATTATGTGGCAATTTATGGCAACCATGTCCTGCACCACACATGCAACGAAGCTGTGATTTCGAGCGGGAAACGAGAACAGGCTAATCTGAGTAATTACCTGCAAAAAGGTGTCTCGTGCTTGTAATATAGGGGTCACGATGTGGCAACTTGCGGCCCAACTATGGTGTGCAATGGACCTTTCATTGCAGCTTGGGCACCGACGACGTCGTACTCGACGGTCTGGCAGAGCAAGATCCTGGCCGAGAGACCACGACGCATATCCCAGGCTGCGCTCAGTCAGAGCCAGGACCTACATATCTGTCAATCCAAGAGTGTTTGCGTGCGTATCTGTAAATCCATCTCAGCTCATGCGAATGGGGGTCACTCATCTCAATGCGCACAGTTTTTTTGGCCCTGCACAATGAAAAGAACACATTGTGACAATGTGACAAGATCGGAGGCCAGCGGGCTTCAAGCAAGCGATGCCCAACACAGTTTTGCTCCACGGTAGACGCGCGGTCTGGTCAATTGCGTGTACTTGCAGAACAGTCGGATGCTCCAAAAGTTTGCAACAGGATCGTGGACGGCTCAGCTCGTAAGTGCGACAACACAGCCGGAAAACAGTTGGAACAACTATATCACCACAACCCAAGATGTGACGATAGTGGACTGCATCATCGATTTGCCCGAGACTATGTCTGGCACCAGCAAGCGTAGCTTTCCAAATAGCTGAGACAGTTGCAAGATATGAGCGCTTTTCGACGGAGCAAGACTTTGCATCTTGCATCGATGCCACGCAAAGTTCTGCCCAGCCGACAACGCATACACAGCCGATAATTAGAATTCCAAACCATTCCAGATACCTCTCAGCATGAATATGTTTTGTGCATCCTCTTGAACACTGCTGCAGGATTCTTTCGAAACGAAGATACCTGAGAGGTGCCTCGGGAAGACTTGATCTCGTCACTCTCGGGGAGGTTTCACAGACCCACGGTAAGCTCCTTGCCTGTAGCCGCAGCAAAGCCGACTACGTGTGCAACAAGTCGACTTGCTGCCAGGATGGATAGACCTCGCATATACACATTCGCCAGATCAGAATTGTCAAGCGAAAAAAAGTCTTGCCGTTCGAAGAGCTGTGAGAAGTTGGCGCACCTCTTCGCCAGCAGAACCGGTGTTTTGCAGGTATGCCGCACAAACTTTTCCATCAAACCGCCTGAGAAAATATGGCAAGTGCCTCAGCAATCAGGGGTGCAGCAGGACAGCATGAACATGTGCAAGAGGTTAGCAGGGAATCTGAGCTACAGGCGCAACGCCGCTCGAAGCAGAAGCGCGAGTGAGGATACAGCAGCTGCTTTGTTTGATAACGCCAGCACCTTGTGACCCCGGCCGGGTGGAGGGTGGCTGGGTGGCTCAAGCGCAGATTTCTGTCCGAGGTCCGAACAAACCCACGCTACGACAGGGAGGCCATCGCTCGAATACCAAGGCCAGTCCTTTAAGCCCAGGAAGTTTGAGAACACATCAGCCTTTCGTGCCGAGCAGGACTCTCCGCAGCCGTCTGCGGCCGCTCCTGGACTCGGGGTGCCTGGTGTTGCCTGGGGCCCCGGAACCCCGACGTTTTGGCGCAGTTGCACCGAACGCAAGTGAGGCAGACGCCTGCGCGAGCGAGAGACGAAGCGGCGGCTTGGAGCTGACAGACGGAAGGGAGAGGGAGAGGGGCTGTGGGGACGTCTCCTTCCTCCCTTGCAGCTGATCTTTCCCTGTTGGAGGGCTCACGTGGGCCAGGCAAGGAGAGGCCGCCACAACGGGGACAACTTCTTCGTTCTCTTTGAGGCCCAGAAACAGCCTCAAGCCTTTTGCTCTGCTCGCGACTCCTGGCTTCAGGCTGTGGTGGCCTCAAGGCTGGCACACTGGCACAAAGGCCTCTACGCTCCGGTTCAATGGCGTGGCCACGGCGTCTAGAGTCTAGAGATGTCCAGAGGCATCTACCTTCTGGCAGCCAAGTGGGAGCGGCTGGTGCGAAGCTCTCAGAAGGGGCAGATCTGCAGCGAGACGAAACCATGCTCAGGGATCCGACGGTAGCGACGCCTTGGTGGGCGTGAACCTAGCAGGCCAGACCGCCCATCGCCCCACCCGTCGTCCATGTAGACCGTGCACTTGCAGCTCACGATGTCTGAGTGTGAAGGCCAACGCACCGTACCCCGTCACTCAGCAGAGATCCGGCAACTTCAGGCAGGGGTGGTGCTGCTTGAAATGCGGATTACTTCTGGTCGCAGGCCCTGTTTCCTGCCTACTGCCTTCTGTGATGACTTTTGTCCCTTCTTTGCTGTACCGCTGGTGGCAGGCGCAGCTGTCCACATCTCAGAAGCCAAAGAATTATGGTGTCTGTCGTTGTGCCAGAGACAGCGAGAGAGTGAGAGAGAGATAGAGAGAGTATGTTTTAGTGATGTATGTTCCTCAAGCAAGCCGGCACACCTGGGTGACCTCTAAGACGGATCTGTGTTGCAAAAGAAGGAATGAAAAGTGTTCCTCAATTGTTTCTTCGCGGCTAAACTTAGGCAGCGACTTTGCGCATGTCAGGGGGAACAGCTGAGGTCACTGTAACTGCTAGGAATTTTGATGTTTTTCTGTTGTCAGCCTCCGCTGAGCCTCGTTCTCTCAACATGTCCTTTATTTCACAAGTGGAGAATGCGAAGTGTTCCAACAATCGTAGCTACCTTGAGCGGCAATGAACTTGCATTTCAGTTTGGGGGAGTTGCCAGCATGACATGTTGCCATCGTCTTCTGAATTGAGCGCTGTTTTGATCGTTTGCTAAGCCCTGTCGTGTGGCACACCTGTTCCGAACTCTGTTCTGTAATTTGTTTGCGCATCCTCTAACACAGGGGAACACCGCTCTCAATGACAACTACTGAACGCAGTTGAGCCATAGTCACGCTTGTTGGGTGGGGAGTGTTCAGTACATGTCTTATGCAGGTGGTCACAGTTGAAGTACAGCTGAGCCCTCCTCGACTTAAATCCTGCGGACTGCAGGTGCACGTTCGCGTGCGGAAGGGGTAGCGTCCGCTGCCTCTTTCCTACCTGGCAGACAGAGAGAGAGAGAGAGAGAGAGATAGATAGAGATAGAGATAGAGATAGAGATAGAGAGAGTCGCGAGAGAGGCCGGGGAAGCCGGTCCAGTGCCTCGTCGGCGGCCCGGCGATTGGCTCAGATGAGGAAAGACCCAGACTCCGCGCATCGCCTCGCGCTAGCCGCTAGCAGCGGCCGTGCTGCGCTTTTTCGAGGTTGGGCCGGACAGGTTGCTGGCGCTCGTCCCTTTCGAGGCAAGAAGAAGCGGCCGTTAGTCGCGTGGCTGGACCTGTGGCCTGGAAGCTCGACGCTTCTTGCAGGGCGATCTCCTTCAGCCGCTGCCGCGGCTCGTGCACAGTGTTGAAGGCCTGGTGAGAGTGTCAAACGGGATTCGGCCACGCACTGTGTTCTTAGGATCGAAGCAGAGCGAGAACGTAACATACTCCGATCGAGGACCTCAGATGAAAACCGAGAACACATGGTTGCTATGCCACATCACAACATGCCAGATTGCCAAGTGCACTGGACGACTGGAACAGACCGCTTTTGCCGAGTTTAACAAAGTAAACAAAGAATCCAAATGCCGTCATTTCGCCTGTATAGTAGAACTCGAACTCCAGGCTGACCTTCATGGATGCACCGAGTTGAAGTGGAGGAAGTAATGCACAGATACGTTCGACCTTGTGATACGGAGCATAAGACGTAAAAGCTACTCACCCCATTTACACTTGCGATGCTGCGAACAAGTACTGTGATCGCTGCATGCGGCTCAAACTGGCAGCGCTTGTGCGACTCCAAGCGGATCCTGGTCTGCATCATGAGCACGTCTTCTATGCTCAGGAGTGGAATCAGCGTCCCGGTCATTTTCTTGCCGAGGTTGGCTGTCAGGCCCTACTCCGAAGCCCAGATGCTTCGGTCGGAACTCCCTAATGCAGCTCGGCTGCAGCAACATGTGCGTGTGTTCAGTGCTCTGCAAGTACTAAGGATCGTGTTCTCATGGAGACGACCCCTCTTGCAATGGATGTGTGCGGCTCAGACTCGCGGACGTGGCATGCAGATCTGTTGTCGACAAAAGAGCTGGATTGCCTGTTTGTCTCAGGACTGTTCACATGGTAGTGTCCGCGGAGCGGAGTCTCGCCTCCTTGGAGGAAGATGCCAGTGTCCCTGAAGTGACAGCTCCATCGAAGGGACTTGTGAGAACCATGATACGAGGGCAGGGGGGGTGTCCTGGATTCTAAAGATTATGAGGGGGGGGCTTGTAGTCCTGGATTCAGGAAGAATATACGGGGGGTTGTAGTCCTGGATTTCGGAAAACGGAAAGGGCGCTTTAATTCAATTCTTCGCGACTTCAGAGAGCGGGGAGGTTACAGTCTCAAAAAGCAGGGGATTGGGGGGCGTAGCCCCCCATTTGCAGAGCTTCCAAATTGCCCAAGATTGATTTTGAAATTCGCTCTTCCAAACCCCCCTGAAGCGTTTTCGTGTGGCTTTCTTCTTCGTGTGTCTTTGAGAAGATGTTTTTCGGCGATAAGTGGCACCAGTGGGGGGCTTCGGTTTTGGGTGAAGTATGACAGGGCTTTTTTGGGTTTGGGCGAAGTATGAGGAGGGGGTTTGGGTGAAGTACAAAGTCTTCCAAATCACTCATGATTATTATGTTCTTCTTCTGACTTGTAACCCCCCTGAAGTTTTCTCGTGTGGCTTTTTCCTTTAAAACGCCTCTTAAGAGAGCGGGGAGGTTGCAGTCTCAAAGATGCAGAGCTTCCAAATCACTCATGATTTATGTTATTGTCTTCGCTTTAACACCCCTGAAGCGTTTTCGTGTGGATTTCTCCTTTGTGTGTGTTGGAGAAGGGGGAGTCCGAAGCCTTGGAGGGGTGGGGGCTTGTAATCCTGGTTCTGGGGTCTAAAGCAAATTGGGGGGGTTGGGGGCCACCCCCCATTTGCAAAGCTTCCAGATCACGTATGCTTAATGTTAACGCGACGCCGCCCGCCTCGGCTCCTCAAGTGCAGGGGCCGGATGAAACGGCAAAGCCTTCTGTATCACTCAAGAAATCTGTTCAGGTCACGGCTATATTGAGATTTCTTTGAGCAGGACTCCCACGATTGAACAGGTGCGGAGGTGCTGCTTTTTCAGCGAGACATGTCAGGTGCGGCAAGCAGGAACGAACAGCTGTAACGCAGGGAGGGACCAGCATGGCCGTGCGCGGCAGGGGCAGGAGCAGGAGAAGGGGAGAGGGGCAGGGGGGGGGAAGGGAGGAGGTCTGGTGGGGAGGGGGAGGGGAGGGGGGAGGGAGGATTAGGTGGAGGGTACTTGAGGTAACCCCCAAGACGCCTGGGCCTGTGGCCTCGGCGGATTGTATTTTCTTCGCCTTTAACTCCCTTGAAGCGTTTTCCTGTGGCTTTCTCTTGTGTGTGTGTGTTGGAGTAAAAGGGGGCTTAAAGTCATGGATGTAGGAAGACTATCATAACTATAAGGGGGGAGGGGCTCGAAGTCTTGGATTGGGACGAAGTATGAAGACGGGGGGGTTGGGGGGGGCGCAGCCCACGCCATTTGCGCTTCCAAATCACGCATGATTATTTATGTTCTTCGCTTTTAACTTCTCTAAAGCGTTTTCGTGTGGCTTTCTCCTCGGTGTGTGTTGGAGAAGAGGGGGCTTTAAAATCCTGGATCTAGGAAGACTATGGGGGGAAGGGGGGCTCGAAGTCTTGGATTTGGACGAAGTATGTAATCCTGGTTTTTGGGTGAAGTATGAAGGGGGGACGTTTCATTTTTTCGCGGCTTAACAAAGTGGGGAGTGCGCAATAACAAAGCGGTGGGGTTCTCCCCCAAGACTACAAGGCCCCCTTCCCCCCCTCACAGTCTTCCTAAGTCCAGGACGACAAGCCCCCCCATTTAATAGTCTTCTTAAATCCAAACAACAACACCCCCCCCGTCATAGTCTGCCTAAATCCAAAACTACTACTCCCCCCTCATACTCTTCCTGACTCCAGGACAAGCCCCCCTCATAGTCTTCCTAAATCCAAGACTACAAACACCCCCCTTTAGTCCTTCCCGCCCCCCCCTCATACTCTTCGGATTTCTAGGATTATACGGGGGGGGGTCCCGGGCTATTGAACCGGACTCTCACGACCCTGACCCGGAACGCCTGCAACGTTAGCAAGCTGAGGCCCGCCGAATTGTACAAGCCGTCGGTGAGGACGAAGTGGCAAAGGCGATGACTCGGCTCAGGGCTCAGAGTTCCGGACGGGGGGTCCGTACGTGCCATGTCAGGTTTGGCCGAAGGAGCGGCCAGCGGGACCCGCTTGCCTGCAGAAATGCGGCAAAGGCTGCTTCTGCATGGCAGCGAGCCTTCATCGAAGCTTCAGTGGGAGAGTGGCAGAGTTTCCGCGGGCGTTGAAAACGCTCCGCTGCGTGGTCCTTCCTGCTCAGGAAGCACTTCGACGACATTTTCTACTGCGACTGCACGGGCCGGAATGCTGAGAATGAGAAGGTTTATCGCCAGGAGTTCACCTACGCAGATCTGCTCCTTGCCTTTGCTTCGACACATGTAACCCCACACCATACGAGCTGCGCGCACACCACAGCCACACCCAGCTCGGAGGGCATAGTGTCAGCTCCCCACGACTGCTGCCGGACCCCGGTTGGGCCCCCCAGCGCATCTCAGGAACAAGCATCCCGACAAGAAGGGCAAAGTGGATTCTGCATGGCAGCATGACAAGTGACGGAAAAGGTATCTGTGTGCGTGCACGTCAGACTATGTCAGACTCCTTGTCTCGCTTGATCCGAAGAGATGCTTGCGAGAGCTTTGAGTGCAGGCCTGCCCTCCGAGGGTGCTCCCGGTCCCTGCGGCGCTCTTTTTGCAGAGCTTCGAGATGTGTTGCAGGTGCCCTGACTTGAGAGTGCTATCTGTCTCGCACATCCCTGCGTACCAGCTTCCTAAGTCGGTGCCGCTATGAATGTGACGGTGTTTCTGGCTCTACTTGCAGCGACTTTGATACAGCTGGCCCCAGCTGTGATATCTCCGATCCATGGCAGTGAGACATGGTCTGGTCCTGCTGGTGCTGAGTGTGGCTGCATCTAGCCTGCGAGTTGGCGGGGCTGGTTGATCCTGCTGGCGTGCCTTCCCTTAGGTTTGTTGCTAGTGCTTGAGTCTGAGTCTTCTTTGCTGATACTACTAGCAAGGTCGCCCGTCGAGATTGCATCGAGAACTCGACAGATCTGCAGCAGTGTGGTCAGCAATGCTCGAGACGCCCGAGAGGTCGCGAGAGAGCAGATTGCGCGGTCTCTTGCATCCTCGGTAGAGGTCAACATGGGCGCTGTGCTGGATGTTTGGGGGAGCTCATAGACTGCAGGCTATCGAACTGCCCGTTTTTCTGCCCAGATTATCCGGAGCGCTGTGAACACTGCGTTGCAGAGCGCTGTACCAGCTGTGTGTCCAAAAATGCTGCGGGAGCCAACGTCGAGACCCCTCATGAGCAGGGACAGGGGCCCCCATGACCTCATGCGGACGTCGTCGGGGCAGTGCTGCAGTTCTTGGTTTCACCCTGACTCGGAACAAAAGGCATAGTTGCCCTTGTACTTCTGCCGATCTGTAGGCATGTACAGACTGTCAGCTGGGCCCCGTGCCGGCAAAAAACACAGCACGTGCGGGCGGCTCCGACAGAGCAGCACTTCGAACGACAGACTGCTAGCGGTGGCACTTGCCAGTTCAACGACAAAGCGCTTCGGATTGTCCTGAAAGTTTGCGAGAGGCTTCATCCTTTCAGGACCTTGCTTTGTGCAGCTCTTCGTTTGAGGTTCTCTCAGAGCAGACCAATCTTCGTCCGCTCGGTGCCGCTGTCTTCCAGGAACCCGGCACGGCGGCACGCGCAGAAGACACGTGCAAAGGGATTGTGATCTGCCATCACCTCGCAGGGCCATGCCGTTTGGAGCTCGGACCAGCTCTTGTCAGAGGTCGGGAACTGCGGGCATCTCTCTTCTGGGAGTCGAATTCTTCGCAGGTGGCTCGGGGAAGCTGGGGCTTGGCCCGTGCAGTGCTCAGATCAGCCTCCGTCCGTCAAGGCCAAGGCGCGGGGCGGGGCCGGCCGTGTCCTGAAATGGGGCTGGGCAGGTGCTCAAGGCAGCGACTTGTCAGTTCCCGAGGGAGACTCCGAGGCTCGGGATCTGCTTGCGAGCTGTGGCGAGTTGTGGGGATAGTGATAGTGGCGACCTTCGCGCTGTCACACCAGCGAGTCGCTAAGGGTCGCCGGTAAGACGTGCGTACAACGACAATTGCACTGTCAGGGATTCGACTTGGGAAAGCATAAGCTAGCCATCGCATAACAGTTCTTGCTTGCCTTGCTGTCAGGAACGCTGGTCCACGCTATGGCAGCAGCGACAAGTTGTGCCGAGAACTTCCGACGTTCGGGACCCTGGGATCACATAAAGTGATGGAGTTCCAAACTACGTGCATTGACTGTTCAATGCCCCTGCACAAACAAGCTGGTAAAAGGTTTTCTGAATTCTGTGAGGTTGAGTCTCCATCTCAACCTCAGCCTCACTCGCAGTCGCAGCAGCTCCGTCGTCGGGAGGTGGCTGCAATTTGCTTTTAGCGACTGCGCCTGTGTAAGCGGAGTCTTTGCCCGGCTGGGTCTGTGGATGGATCATGATGCAGAGCTTTCGTTGGCACATCCGCTCACTTGATGGGCAGTATCGACATTTTGCTGGCAAACCTCTTGGCTCAAGACCTTGCCGGATTAAAGAGCGGCGGGGCTCCAGGCCCAAGGCGTGCTGCACCTTGTAATGCCACCAGTGCTGGGCGGTGCTCTCGGCCAGGACTTGGCCGCAGGATGGCTTTGATCACAGGTGGTCTGCAACTCTGTTCAGAGCCATTCAGATCCGTTCTGTTCGGCTCGGTTGCTTTAAGTCCTCGGTGCCGAGGCTTGGGAGGGCTGGGCATGCTCGCAGCGAACGAGCTCGCCATAGCTGGGAAGGCCACCTCATGAAATCATGAAGTGACGAAAGCTGGGCTCCGTGGGACACAGACCTAAGGACCATGTGGTGGCGACATCGAGGAGACAGATTTTCACGCGTCCGTGTGTGCGTGTGTGTGTGGGTGGGTGTGTGTGTGTGTGTGTGTGTGTGTGTGAACCTCCCTAGCACATGGGAGCAGAGGGTCACTCCTACACTGTTTGCAATTTCGCTTTTCAACATAATCCGGCATTGGACATTTACCAAATCAACTGTTGCAGGGGGATCAGGCTTCCAGTGACTGACCTGATCCAACGAAGCTAGGTCACTGGAAGGGAAGTGATTGAGGACGCTCAGTCATGTACCTGCGCAATTTTCGGCAGCCCCCTGTGGTGCCAAGATTAGTTTGAGGACAGGCCCCCTGTGGTGTCCAGATTATACAAACAAGTTGTACGGTTGCCACAATCTGACAAACTTTTGCAACATGAACAACATGCCTCTCTTTTTCCTCTTGCACTCGTACTCTTGGCCGAATCCATCAGTGTGATCAGCGTGGGTCGTTGAGACTCCAGAGCAACGGCTTTCCGTCATGGCGCCGTGGTGACCCTCCGGGGAGACCGGTGATGAACCGGGTGTTCAGCCTTCGTTCAGATCGTTCAGAATCTCCCGATGCTACTTTATCTCTCTCTCTCTGATGCTCGCATGTGAGTCTGACATGAGTGCAGGTGCAGTAAGGAACGGCTAATGCAGTAAAGTGCGTCTAGTGAGCAGGTGCTACCTCGCTAGTCTGCCCTCTATTCTACCGCTTCTTTATTCCTCAGGGACTGCAAGGGCATGTGCACCTGACATGAGGGCAGACGCGGTAACAATGTCTACAGCAAGTGAAACAGCGCTCTCTTCGGAGAGTACTCGGCCCTCTTCCTTCTCTCCGTCTACGACCTCTCAAATCAGTCCAGCAGGGACAACCAGGACAGCCTGCACTTTGCTTGTGCAACTGTGTTTGTTTCACCCACTTCGTTGCAGCTATGTGGCCGGATTACTTTACCGCGCAGCCACCAGCAACACCATACGCACCAACAACCCGACCGGTGCTTAATCAATTTCACCCGAACACCTGGGTACCGCAGTCACAAGGCTACCCAGCAATGATGCCAACTGGCATTGCTGCCACTCAGCAGCACACACTGCCGACACAACCCACTACGATCCCTGTCGAGCAGACGCACAGCTTCCCCATGATGCCGTGTGGACACACTGCTCCTATTCCACAGCATCCGACGGTATATACACATCTCAGCACACCACAACCCCAGATGCCACAACAACCTCCAACCCAGCAATTCATGTCACAACACCCCCCCACTTTCTTGAACCCTGCTCTTTTGCCTACCCATCCAACAGTTTTTCCCACGAGCCCATCCAATCTGACACCGCATCAGCCCCAGCTTACCACATACAACATTCCTTTTACACCACCTGCTCCACAACCCCAACCTGCACCTTACAACATCCCTTCCACACAACCCGCTCAACAACCCCACATACCGCCGCCAACAACAATCCAACAAGCTTCACAATCTCACCCCACCAGTGTTACCACTACCGATGCTGCACACATTGCCCCGCAGACACCGGCAATGACTCCCCAACCCCAACCAACAAACACAGCCAACACCCCCTCCGTTAGCACATTGCCACCCACACAACCACCCCCGGCTACGGGATCGGCAGACACCGACCAGTTCGCAGCACGCACTTCTCCCCACCACCCTCCGTTGCCACGCAGGCGACGGCGCTCACCCACACGCAGCAGAACTCGCACCGTGAGCACTAGACGCCGACGACGCACACGCAGCAGAGCACGACCTGCAAGCAGCGGGAGACAGCACCGCCGACGCAGACACCACCGATCCCGCGACACCCGCAGAAGTCGTTCTCGCAGGGACACCAGGCGATCTTCGTCGACACCTCCGCGGACCTCGGTTGTGCTCCGTAGCTATTCTACAGTGCGTGATGATGATGCCAACAAGTGGCATTACAGAGCCACACAGCCACGTCAGAGGCCACCTACCCCACCCAAGGTCCCACAAAGGACATTGGCCTCGCAGGTTCAGCGAATCGCCCTTCGCATCAAGGGCAGCCAAGCAGCACAACAGCAGCCCCCAGCCGGACAGGGCACATCCTCCCGCCAACAGGTTCAGCACAATCCCTCCAGCTCTATTCGGACACCTGCCCCAACTTTTGATGCATCCACAGCTGCTGCCCCATCGGGTCAGCCAACCCTCGAACAACTGGGCAAACAGAGCAGACCACCACAGATTGATGTGGCGCCTTTTTCTGAGCTTTACGATCATGAAAAGCCGACCCCCCACGCTGTCGACATGGAAGAAGCACATAAACTCGCCAAAACCTTGGGCGAGATAGCTGCTGACAGCGATTTCAGGCAGGAGACTTTAGCCGAATTTGCACATGCCGTGCTACAGTCAGGCACGCGATCAGCGTGCAACGAACTGGGGGCAGTGCTGACGCCAATATCGGACGGCGTGCATACTATGTTATTCATCCCGTGGGCTGGAGAGCAGCGCAGAGCATTCGGCACTCGTGCCACCGACCCACCAGGGGAAACATACATCTACACCGCCGGACACGGCACGAGCATTGCAAGTGCCGCGCGCATTATGCGCGAGGACTTGGTCCGCCCAAGTTCAGTCAGCCATTGCTTCGACGACAAGTCCTATCCACCCATTCCCTCTTGCGTCATATACGGGAATGCGACCCCAGGAGATGTATCGGAAAGCACGGTACATATAGTTACCGATCAATGTACACGGCGGCCGAAGGGCCAACAGGGAGTGATCGTCATCGGGACAATACGGACTAAGTATCAGCATTACAAGATGACGTATCGGGACATGTATAGAGAAGCCTTCATCGTGGGGCGAAAGGGTGTCGTGCGGACCCCAGAGAAGTGGGGATTCCACTCGGGGCATTTCAGCATCGTTGGATTCGGCCTTATTCAGTGATGTTGCTTTCTTTCTTCTTCCGTGTCTACCTTTCATTCTCGAGTATCTTTTTCTTCCAGGCCTGAATCCCGTTGCACATAGCTGTTTGCAATCAAGCATTTGCTCCGACCCCGCTTTTGAGCCAAAGAAGAGACGATGCAGCTGCATGCTGGATGCATCGCACAAGTTGATATCGACACTCACGCCAACCATGTTGCTCATGCATGTGCCACTTGCAGCTTTTGCAGTCATAGGCAATTGTAGTGCCCCATTGTGCAACCATGTACAAGCCGACACAGCCTCAGTGGCATACAACAATGCCAACAGGCATCATCGGTACAGCAATCAGTACGATGCAGCGACAAACAGCCTCGACCAGCAGCACCCCAATGCACCCGATCTCCCCACCACCAGGGATTCACAACATCCCACCACACACCTCACCCCTAACCCCAACTACTTGGGGTTCAGCTCACACTTACAGTCACAACACCACTTTCCCCCCGTTCCCTCCACCCCCTCCCCCACCCCAGCAGTTTTCCGGCCCAACATCACCCACCACACTGCCAACCCCCACACCTGCCACTCCTCAACACACCTTTGCGAGTCCATCTCCGATGACGACTCGAAACCCCAGCATTTCTTCACATACATTACCTCAGGCCACCGTCACACCCCAACAACAACAACACCCCAATCTCACGCCTGCTAATCCCCAGATACCAAACGACTTCGTTCAAACACCAGAGCATTGGGGCAACAGACAGCTTTATGGCCTCAACCTACCCAAACATATCCAATCCACACCACATTCAGTACACAACCGCACGGCAGGCATGCCGATCGCAACAGCACCATTGGTCGCATTTCTGCGACACAATTGGTCCTCGTACTGGCTACGTTACGCCGCACACGGCTTCGACATCCATCTCACATGCAGCAAACACATCAGCGAAGCCGTCTTTACCACTGAACTTATGGGTCAACTCCGAGCACGGAGAATTGATCTGGACCAAGCGGCCACCGCATTTTGCTGGCAAGAAAAGCTCACACTCGCAAAACGGCCAGCAATGTCACACCTAATCAAGGAATTGGTGTTATACCTGCAAGAGCTGCAGGACCAGTACAATGACGGCAACAAAAAGGACAAGCAAGACGTCAAATCAGACACAGATAACACACAATCACAACCCACCGAATCTCCAACACCACCACAATCCAGCAAATCACAACCTCATCTCCCACTTCAACCTTCGCAGCCGACAGAGGCAGACACTCTGGCGGCACATCGCATCAGCGACCTGGAAGCACGACTTTCAACAGCACTGGAGACAATTGAAACTCTCCGTGCTCCGGATGCACACAATGAGGCACCCAGCACACCAGCACCAAAGAAACCAAAACGAACCACCGCACCTAGCACTCCCATCAACACGCCCTCTCCACCACCTCTCTCAATTTCCACAATTGAGATTTCCCCCACCACAACCACTCGTGGACAAAAACGTGCTACCATCGATGACTCTACACACACCGACACCAGGCCTACCACTGGTGACCTCTCCCCTTCCACCACAACCGTTGCAGAACAAGACACCAACGCGTTACATGCTTCCCCAGCATCGTCATCCACCACAGGTATGCATTTTCCGGGACGCTCCACTCTGGGCGCCAAGCGACAGAAGCAGTCAACTCTT